GCAGTGCTTTTCTTTGGAGACAGGACATTTCTTCCATGGAAAATCATTAAAACACCTAAAATGAAATATTCCTTATTAATACAAAGGAACATACCATAGTGTGTTTTAGCATAATCTGGGCCAGCCATTTAATATTTAATCAGTATTTATGAAGGTGGTGACCTTTGAAATAGGAAACTACTCTGGTCATGTGCTTTTAAAAAATTTCTTAAACCTATGAGAAAAATGTGAATGTAGATTTAAAGTTTTACTTTCCTGTATTTTTATTGACAGAACATGCTTTTATTTTGTATTCTGCAATTAATTCCTTACTGATTTATTTTTAATTAAAATAGATCTTAGTTCCAATAGTTTTACTACAGATTTCTTTGAGCAACTGAATAGCTATGATTATTACTCATTATTTTGGTACAGCTGGAAACTAGGCCGCTATTACCCATTATTTGTTTTCCCCCTCCACCAAATGAAAAATAAACCACAGAAAATGAACACTACTTTTATGGAATTTTTCTTAAACCTAACGATAGGGGGCTTCCCTGGTGGCGCAGTGGTTGAGAGTCCGCCTGCCGATGCCGGGGACACGGGTCCGCGCCCCGGTCCGGGAAGATCCCACATGCCGCGGAGCGGTTGGGCCCGTGAGCCATGGCCGCTGAGCCTGCGCATCCGGAGCCTGTGCTCCGCAATGGGAGAGGCTGCAACAGTGAGAGGCCCGCGTATCGCAAAAAAAAAAAACCAAAAATAACAAAAAAAAAAACCTAACGATAGGATTTTTGTCAATATCAATATAGATTCAATTTGATTCTGGTGTAATGTACACAGCAATCAAATAGCCCAAGATTACTTTCATATATTTTTTCGATCTCTCTTTCTACAACCTTAATACAATAAAATGTAATTGGCAAATATTTCCTTTGAGGTAAAACACAAACTGAAAATAAGCAGCAGGTCCACTGTCTCATGAAGAAGTCACCTCCTCATAACCACAAACAGGACTCATTAGGTTCTGTCACAATGGAATAGCAAGAGCTTCTCTACTTCCTCATTCAAGAAGTTAGAATGAGACAAGGGAACACTTGGAATTCCATAGCTCTCTGAAAATCCTCTGAAACTATGAGCAATTGGATTTATTCCTTTGTCGCTCAGGGAACCTTCCAGGTCTCATTGAGGAGGGACCTGAGGGTCTCTAAAACTAGAGCTGCATTGGATGAATAAAAATGCCAAGCAAGGAAGCCCCAACCAACCACCCAACCCAGCCAACATAAAATTGGACAAACTCCAGAGCTATGTTAATCCCACAACCTTCATTCCTAAAAGGGACAAAGTCTCACATATCTGAGAAAAGGATCCATAGGCCACTGTAGTAGTTTATACTTTTGATATTCATAAATTTTAGACAACATAACTCATTTATCACCATTACTTTTTTTTTTTCCGGTACGCGGGCCTCTCACTGTTGTGGCCTCTCCCGCTGCGGAGCACAGGCTCAGCGGCCATGGCTCACAGGCCCAGCCGCTCTGTGCCATGTGGTATCTTCCCGGACCGGGGCACGAACCCGCGTCCCCTGCATCAGCAGGCGGACTCTCAACCACTGCGCCACCAGGGAAACCCTAGCACCATTAATTTTAAAATCCCCCCCTTCCACACAGCTCACTCATATTCTCCTCTCTGATCTGGCAGTTTTTCTCCATAGGGTGGGGGTGGAGGAGCAGAATTATGTCTATTTCTTTATTCTATTCCATTCTAAGATCCAAAGTATAAGATAACTCTTCCAAAAATTTGTGCAAAATGTATGCAAAATATAGTATGACTTTACTCTGAAATAAGTACATGTATTTTACCTACCTTTGAGCTATGAACATATTTTATTTATCTCTAAGAATTGTATAAGCAATTTGTCTTTAAGCAAGGTGAAAGCAGTGTACCTCTTGCTTAAGAGAAAAGGGTTTCTTAGCAGATTTTACCACCTGATCTTGGGCAAGTTGTTCAACCTTTTAAAAATATCAGTTTTCTCATTTACAAGTGAGGATTAATAATAGTACCTACCTCATAGGAGAACCATTAAAGAGATAAGGCAAGAGTTAAAGAGTAAGAGTAAGAGAGTTAAAAGAGATAAGGCAAGTAAGATACTTTTACACATCTAAGATGTGGTACATACAACTGGCCATTACTACTGGTAACCCCAATGGCAATATTTATATATTGAATAAGTTTTATATAGTAAAATATGAGAAGGATAAAATAGTTAGTAGAAACAAATATGGCACACTGGCTAAGGTACCAGGCTATTCATTTCAACAACAGAATGAAGAAATAAATTCAGAAGAAATGTTGGTCTAACAAAATGAAAGATCTAATATATCTGTGAGAGGAGAGGTATGATGGATATAGTGAATACTTATCATGAATTAAATAAGTGAAATAAAATGAATCTGCATGAGTTTGATGTGACAAGTTTGGTGAAGAAAATGAAATATATTACAAGATATGTGGCTTTTGACTGTTGACTATTTATGTGCCAGACATGTGAGAGGTGCTTTCATCTCATTTAATTCTTTTACTTAATTAATAAATATATTATGAAGTAGATATTGTTTTATCCTCATTTATTATGTACTCTCAGTTTAATAGATAAGGAAACTTTGTCTCAGAAATATTAAATAATTTATACAAGGACAGGTCAAGGGCACAGCCAGGGTCAAGAATAAAAATGAATGTCTACATAGCATATGCATAAATAAAAAGAAAAACATCTAATTAAAATGTGTTTTTTCTTCCACCTTGACAAAAATATATTTGTGACAACCTGGAAGGCCTGATTCCAATGCAGAATTTTCAGATCACTGGAATTCAACCCAAGAATGCGATGGGCAGTACCCTTGCCAATGTTCCTGTCCCATTGCTCTTTCCATTCCTTGCTTTGTCACACACATATTGGGATACCCTAACCTGCATGTCTCTACTTTTCCTATAAAGAGCCACCTCCTGGCCATCCCCCCAGGCCTAGGGGTTCTCATCCCTGTGATGTGGTCTAACCTTGGAAAGACAGTCTTGAGAAAGCTGGTAACATGCTTGGAACTACAGGGCCCTAGGGCCTTAGTATGATCTACAATGGAGGAGGGAAGATGGTCCTGGCTCTGGGTTAGCATATCCACCTGACCCTATGTCTGTATTCTTTGCCCTCTAAGGAGGACCATGACTCAAGGAAGGCCAGAGTGAAACTTGTGTGGCTTACAGTAGGAACCCCTCTTGTCTGAGTCTAAGGGAGGTCCTATCAAAGGCCATTCTGATTGCAAGTTTGGAAGTCCAGATGAGTTTGACTCAAAAGCTCATATATTTCCCATTACTGAATATGGCCTTATTTCTTTCTGCTTTGCCATCAAACTGAGATATTTAGATTTCAAGATGCAGTTATAAAAGTACATGGCAGTGAAGAAAGACAGGGAGAGAGAGATGATAAAAGAGGAAAGAAAAGTGTATAGTGAAGTAAGGCAGGTAGAGGGCAAACTCAGACAAAGAAAAAAGCTCTATATGGAGAAGAGTTGTAAATGTAATAGTGGTTTGAGGATTACTTAATAACATAATAATACAAATTGGCTGTAATTTAAGCAGCACTTGAATTCCTCCTACACCAAACACTAATAAGTAAATATTATAATTTCATGATGTTTTAAATGTTGGGGACCTCTTCATCCAACTACGTAGTAGACTAACTCATTACTATTCTCAAAATCATTAATATTTTATTCCTGTATATTGTTTGCTATAGAAAAATAATTTTGCTGTAAACATGGAAAATGGCTAAGAAGTGCAAGAGTAGTTGTTGAGGAAAGGTAATTTAAAACAAAATCTCCTGTCACCCCAGAAAACCCCTCCACAAAAGTAGAAGAGAAGGAAAACAGTTTTATTACTGAATAATAAAACCAGGTGTGATGCACATCACAGGCAATCTGATGGAGAGATTGCAAGGACAGAAAGAAATCTCACCCTTTTATACAGCCAGGCAGATACAACTCACTACATACCTGTCCTCAAGATGAACAATAACTAGTCCTCAAGTAAGAGCACTTGACATCACCAATTGTCACACATGGTTTGTCCTAAATTTGCTTGGTAGTTGAGGTAGCCACCTGTGTTTGCTAATTGCCTTTATAAGAAAAAAAGTACTTTCTTGTATCTTTAAAATCATAAAAGAGGTAGGTTTGTGTTTGGAGCCAGACACTAGCTGAAGTTATGTTCATATCACCTAGGACATAGGGGAACTCTCTCCCTTGATGACAGCATTTCAAAAAGATGGTCACCAATCCCTCGAAGAAACATTCTTGGGTTGCTTATATAACCTTTTTAAAAAAGATTTACAAACATTTTAAAGAGGTAGACAAAGAACTCACAAGTTTTCTAAAGTAAATGATCTAAAAACGAGGAGAGTCTCTCTTCCCTTATTGTCAACAGAGAGAATTGTCTCTTATTTTTATTTGTATTTGCTCTTACATAGTCTTCAAGTTTTGCTTACAAATCACACATTTTATTTTATTGTCTAGTTAGTGACCAAAATGAATGTCTTCCACAAATTTACAAGAATTATCATAGTTATTAAGGCCTAATTCTAAAGTACTTTAATTTTATCATAGAGATTTAAAAAAACATAAATGGTATGACAGAAAGCACAAAATAACTCATGTAATTCAGTGTATATTACCTTAACAAGAGGTCTTTGTTGATGAATGCATTTATTAAATAAATATTAATTGAGTATCCTTTATGGTTCAGGCACATTTCAAGACATCTGGAATACCCCAGTGAATAAAACAGGCAAAAATCTTGAGTTTATAGAGCTTAAAATCTGGAAGGAGACAGTTCATAAACAATAAACATTATAAGTAGTAAACATGGTATACTACAGGGTGAAAATTTCTATGGAATAAATTAGAGTAATATAATAATAATTGGGAGGATTAAAATGGGGGTTGCAAATTTACACTGTCAGAGTATGCCTCACTGAGATGACATTTAAGCTAAGACTTGGAGGTGAGTAAATGTTAATTTATGAGTAAATGTTTTCATCTTTTTTCTTTGTAGAAATATGGAAAAGAAAATCAAGTATGTTATTTAAATTTTATCAGCTGTTACTAAGCCAAGGACAGTGTGGATCCAACATGGTAGAATGTTTTGATGAGAGGAGGTTGAACAATGGAACTTGGAGCTTAGTGATATACAAGGAAGCAGATGGGGAGGTTTCTACCCTGTCCATGAGAGGAAGAATTTCTACTACACATCAATTAAATCTTCACAACTTTATTCATCTCTTTCTTGCAGTCTTAGAACTATGACAAAAAGATATGGACATAGTGATTAAATCAATAAGGGGTGTATGTTTTTCCAAGTGCCACCAGAGTAAAGGCACTTACACAAAATAAAATATGGCTTTTTATAGTGTCACAATCCAATAACCCTTTATAGTGCTAGCAATACTGTTTTCGAATACAATCTTCTGTTATTCGCATTAGGTCCTTTTTTGCTCAGTAGCTTGTCCTTTTGTGAATCAAACAGGAGAAAGAAATCTCTTGGTTCACTCCTTAACAGTGGATTTAGTGCTCAAGGAGAAACTGAAGACAGGTCGAGAGAACCTCAGGATGCCAACAGTTTAGAGTTAAAAGACACCCCAGCAGGTACTGTTGGAGAAAAATACTGACCTAGAAGTGCTTTTTTAATTTGGGATAATCTGATAATCTTTGTTTTATTAGCAGCACATGGCCTCAATAGTAACAGTGAAAAACTAAAGGCACTAATTCCAGTGCCAATGAGAGTGATGAATTCTGTTTTAAGAGAATTTTGGCAAAGCAGTTAACATTAAATTAAATTCTTCCTGATAATTTTTATTTTCTTATGCTATCTTTCTTACTATTATTGTGATGATCAATCATTTTTATGATTATAAACTAATAATTTAAAATGCTTCCTGGACCCAGTTTTAGTGCAGAATCTCTCATGTTTCTGTCGGCAACCACAATCCATTTTCTATACCAAGATTCTCTCTTGAAATTGCATACTCAGTTTGCCAAGTAATATTATAAAGTAGGGTTTTTAGACAGTTTGTTTGTGGCCTTTAATTTTGTTTTGTTTGGAAAATAATTTTAATTTTCATTCGGTGAGGCATGTCCTCTCTGATTCAATATGCTTCTACCTATTGGCTGATTCAAACTTTTCCTTTACTTGCCTTGTCCCTGAAGTTTCTGTATTTTGTACCTCTGCAAAAGTCGGAAAGAAGGAGATACAATGAAGAAGATAACTTCAATATTTTATATTAAAATTTAATATTTGAGTCCAAGTGGTGATAACTGAAAAGGGAGAAACAGTTTTAGGTGTAGGGATACGGTTGAAATCTCTTCAGAAAAGACACAAAGGTTTCCTATCTGTTCAGTCATCTGTTTTGGGATTGACAAGCTCAGTATGACTAATAAGTTAACACAGATATTTGCTCTTGTTTACAACACTGAGGTGTGAACGGTTTGCTCATATTCTGTAGGATATATTGAAACTTTATCTTAAATGAACCTAGTGCTTCACTTTTCTTATGGAATTCTCTCAAACTTCATGGTAAATTGGTTGCCATGCACACCCCTAGTTACACTGTGTGGAATCATATATGGAAAGATATGTGGAAGGGAGGGGATGATACATTCAAAACTATAATGAAGGCCTAGTTCAAGCAATGTGTATAGATTAATTTCTTGTATAATATGAATGAATGCAACTGTTCTCTGATAAGGATTATTTTTTCTATGGTAGAGAAAACCAATTTAGCAAGTGGTCTTACAAACAGTGTCTCCGGTGGTACAGAATTTGTGGCACTGCTTCAAATAAAAATAAAATTGGTTGGGGTCTGTCTGGCCAAATGGATTTGGTGTGAATTCAGTAAATGGATTAGCCAGCTCTAAATCTGCTGCTAGTGAAACAAGTATTCTAAGTTGTTTCTTAGTTTCTGCTTTTTTTTTTTTTTAACATCTCTAATGGGGTATAATTGCTTTACAATGGTGTGTTAGTTTCTGCTTTATAACAAGGAGCACAGGCTCCGGACGCGCAGGCCCAGCGGCCATGGCTCACAGGCCCAGCCGCTCCGCGGCACGTGGGATTTTCGCGGACCGGGGCACGAACCTGCGTCCCCTGCATCGGCAGGCGGACTCTCAACCACTGCGCCACCAGGGAAGCCCAGTTTCTGCTTTTGACAGAAAAAGCAATCAATTAGCAAAGGAGGAACTGATGGTTATTTTTTGACCAATACAGATTTAGTGTTGAAGGGACTCATGGGAAAAATTTTTAAACTATGTTTGATTCTTAAAGGATCTGTGTTATCTTCAACAGAAATCAATTTAAACATTTTAGTGAAGAGGCAAGTAGATTGAATGCTTTTATGAAGGGACTTGGACCTGGAATGAAGAGATCCGGTTTCTATCCAGTCTTTCCGACTAACCTTCTGTGGACTTTGGTAAAGCCACTTAAACTCTCTTGTTCCCAAGTCTTGTCATAAGAAACAGAAACTTTTTGGTCTCATGTTTCTGTATGACTTTGACTTTTTAAGTTCTATTACTCATATTTGAACTAGTTGTCTTGAAAAGGAATGCAAAAATGTTTGAAACTGTCAAATGTGTATATTCATGGTCAAGAATTAGGAGGTGATAAGCAAAACAAAAGTGCTAAAATTTGTTATAGTGATTTGTATTTCAAAATGTTTTTCAATATTGTTTTATATTATATTTTCAATTAAAAAAACGGTGTGGATAAATACTTTTTTATATTTGGAAATTAAAGTCAGTGACAGAAGTGAGGGTCAATAAAGTACAATAAATATAGGTATTTTTTGTGTCAGAGCAACTTATCTTGAAAGACGTGGAAATTGGTGGAAACAGGAAGAAAATCAAAGAGTTTGTTCTCACTGGGCTTTGGCTTTGGCTCTCACTTCAGAGGCTCAGGAATTCTGATCTAGACTCTGTTAAGAAAAAACACAAATGATTTACATCCTTTGTTTATTGTTCCTGATTACAGTTTAAGTTTCCATTTGTCTTTTGATTTTAGACTTGATGGTAAAAAGGCAGGTTAATTTGAATTTTGTATTGGTAATTGTGGCTCACGCGGAGTTGGTGTCAGTGATCTTGAAAATAAAATGCTTTGGTAAAAATAAAACAGGGAGCTTTGGAAAATCAAGTTCCAGTGATTTAAGTGTTACTCTTTAGGTTTTGTGCATAAAAAGTATTGACTCATAAGTTGTACCTAAATATTCCCTGGTGACAATCTTTTTTAATTTCAGCAGGCAGCTGAACATAGACACCAACATAGGCACAGGGGCTGGATTTAGTAGCAGTGCCTCTGGAAATTTAGCATTTGGTTTGGGGACATCTGGTCAAAAGGGATTGGAAGTCAGTAGAGTTGATTGGAGTGAAATTAGCAGTAGACGATCTGCTGGGGGTGAATCCATAGGTTTTAGATACCTGTAGCTTAGGTATTCCAACTAAGACTCATTCCAGAAAAAATTTAAATTAATTAAATTAACTAATTAGTTAAAATACTTCTCTTTACATTTAACAACAAATTAATTAGTTAAAAAGATTAATTTTTAATAACATCTTGATTTTTTTCATCAGTTGGAACAGGGTGTTTTGGCTGGGAACTTGGAGCTAGAAGGGGCGATGCTGCATTTGGTTTTAGAGCTTCTGGTTTGAGTTCATTTGGTGACAGGGGCTTTAGTAGCAGAACAGTTGAAGGAAATTGAGTGATTAGATCTGAAGGATTCATTTCCAATGATCTAGGTATTGATATCTCATTTTTGTGTATACAAACTTCTGAATCATAGAATGTTTTCAGTAGGCTCTGTGATGATCATTTTATATTCTTCAGGTGACACCAGTCTGAGAATTGGGAATACCTTTGTTGGTGATAGCTCTGGAAATTTGGAATCCAATTCAGGGGCTTTTGGTCAACAGGGATTTGGAGTCAATGAACTTGGAGGGAATAGAATGAGTGGCAGTGCATCTGTTGGGGCTGGATTTAAAGGCCTTGGATCTGATGTCAGTAGCTCAGGTATTCCAATAAAGACTCATTCTGGTAAATTTTAAGTTAATTAAATTAACTAAGTAGTGGAAACACTTTTCTCTAAATAACATTTCACAACAAACTAACTAATTATTAAAGATTGAATTTTAATAACATCTTGATTTTTTTCATCAGTTGGAATGAGGTCTTTGGTTGGGAACTTGGAGCAGGGAAGGGCAATGCTGCCTTTGGTTTTGGAGCTTCTGGTTTGAGTTAATTTGGTGACGGTGACTTTAGTAGCAAAACAGTTGAAGGAAATTGAGTGATTAGATCTGAAGGATCTATTTCCGATGATCTAGGTATTGATATCTCATATTTGTGCATACAAATTTCTGAATCATAAAATATTTTCAATATACTCTGTGACAGTCATTTTATATTCTGCAGGTGACACCAATTTGAGAAATGGTAATACCTTTGCTGGTGATAGCTCTGGAAACTTAGAATCCAGTTTAGGGGCTTTTGGTCAACAGGGATTTAGAATCAATGAACTTGGAGGAGATAGAATGAGTGGCAGTACATCTGTTGGGGGTAGACACAAAGACTTTGGCTCTGATGCCAGTAGTTCAGATATCCTCTCAGTCTCTGTTCCTAAGGGACAGAGACATTAATGTCTCTTGATATCAGACATCTTGAGATTGAACATCTCAATTCATCTAGATTAATAGTTTTAACACTTCCAGTTTCTGTGAATGCAGAATCCTTTATTCAGTTGACATCTTGAAATGGTACCTAGGTTTCCCAAGTGTAAAACAATTCAAAGTGGGAGTAAGTTTGGTTGAAACTGAAATATCAGACTTGGAACCCTGTCTACACAACCCTTTTCTCTTTC